CCCCCCCCCCCCCCCACTGGCTGGGCAAGAAGCAGCAGGGCATAGCCCCCACAGCTCTCCCTGCCAGGGCAGAGGTAGACACAGCCAGGGGAGCTGCTGGGGAACCCCCCATGGCTGCCCTGCCCAATCCCATCCCCTGCCCAGGCCAGCCTCCCGGCACTTTAAAAAGAAAAAAGAAAAGAAAAAAAAGCCCATCACTCACTGGCTCTGGGGCGGTGATCAGGGGCCTCCATGGGCTTGTAGCAGAGCCCTGTGGGGCAGTGGGGATCGCCCCCCTCTTCTTGACACTTGTGCAGCAGCTGCCCCATGGAGTGGCTACACTGAGGCTCGGCAGGGCGCCATGCACTGTCTGGGAGCTGGGGTGGCTCCAGCAGTCAGCTGGAACCCAGCAGCATTCAGCCCCAGTGGCCCCAGCTCCCAGACAGTGAGCAGTGTCCTGCCAAACTGCGCTGCACCCATGCCACGGGGCAGCTGCCACACGGGTGCCAGGTGGGGGGGGCTCTGCCACAAGCCCTCAGAGGTCCCCAATTACTGCTGCCAGAGCCAGTGAGTGCAGGGCTTTTTTCCCTTTTTTTAAAGCTCTGCAGTCAACGGCTGCAGGAGTGGTGATTAGAGCCTCTGGGCACTTGTAGCAGAGTGCAGCGTGGGGCAGCAGGGATTGCCCCCCCCCACTCCCCGTCTGGCACCTGTGCAACAGCTGTCACATTGCACGGGTGCAGCGTGGCTTGGCAGGGTGCCAGAGATGGTTTGGGAGCTGCTGGAGCCAGACAGGAGAAGGGGCCAGGCAGGGCAGCCATGGGGGCTTCTCCCGTGGGTACCCCCACACAGGGAGAGGCAGGCAGAGCCAGAGGAGCTGCCCAGCTGTGCCTGCCTGCCCAATCCCAACCCACGCTGAATCTTCCAAAACTGATTCGGCTGAATCAATTCAGGACAGTGATCCCAATTGAATCACTGTCCTCCGAATTGGCCGAATCTGAATTGAATACTTCCCTATTTGCGCAGGCCTACAAGCAACCTGGAAATAAATTCTATTGCTTTGCAGGTCATGCCAATTCTCATTTTACAACTGGCTTCCACAAATCAGTCAATATTATTAAATAGTGCTTATGAAAGCAATGAACTTTAGGGGTTGAAAACCAAGGTAAAATGATTTTTTTTACGATGGAGCACTTCATACTGTGTGCATCTCTGACATCTTACTAATACTGCATTAAGGCAGATCAACTTTTTAGATTACTTTAAAAGCATGGAAACCTTTCATTTAATTTATTATAACTAGTTGTGTTTGAACCAGAAGTATATTACTTATTTAGGAACTGTGCCAGAAAAGCAATCTGTCTGCAGAAGAGTTATTAGAATTTACTTTGACAGAGACCTTTAAAAAGGAAATAAAGACATTAAAACTGAATTCCATAAAAGAATTAATCATCTACATAAAAAAACCTTACCCCAAGCTCTGTAGATAGAATTAGTACTTTTCCTTTAGCTGTCAGATCCTTATATAGTGCATCTATTTCTGCATGATACAGTTGTGTCCTTTCTTCTGTTGTCTGAGTTTCCACTGAAAACAATACGTTCCCAACTCTAATCACATATATTAAGCACAAGGAGAGCATATATCAAACTCTTGAAATGTGTTCAATCAAACCACAGAAAGACTAATATTCTCTCGCACTACTTCAACTCTTTGCCAAGGATTCTTCTGGAACTAGGAGAACAAATGGGCAGCACACCCAAATGAGCAGGCTACAGTAAGCTAAAACAGCAGACCTTCATCAGTAGTTTTCTGTTTCAGCACTAGAATTTGCAGCATAATTTTATTCTGTTAATTTACACTATAAAAATCAAATTGTTCCGATACTGCGAATTACTACAAACAGCACAGAGAATCACTTCTAGATTCAGTGGGATTAAATCACTGCAAATGATCTAGCCTACACTGGAAATATTATCTGTGTTCCTTCCTTGTCTCCCCAGTGCAAAAAACAGGAATCAAAATATCTCAAAACAGATACTAAAGTGTATTTAGAAGAGACCATGGTAAAGCTTTTCTTCTCACAATGAAAATTAGAAAAGATCCTAACCATGCAAATGTAAATTCGTAATTAGAGCAAGAAACTAATTTCTGCTGCAATTTCATTGTCAAGGAACACTTCACTGTTGGCAATTAAAACCATAAAAAGTATGCACTTTTAAAGCAAACTTACTTATCTCCTGTTATTGTAATTGTGAATCCATCATATTCTTTCCCTGGATCTTTAAGGCTGGGGACTTTTGTGTTGACAGTAAAGCCATCTCTCGTTTTACTGTTAAACTGCTTTCAAGAAAAGAAAGAACTATTAGAATCAAATTCATGGAAAAGTAGGGCTGGAAGGGACTTCAGGAAGTAAACTAGACTCCAACCCTGTTCAAGGAAGAATCGTCTTTGTCTAAGCCAGGTGTTCCCAACGTTTATGTGCCCAAGGGCACATTCGAATTTAAAAGAAAAAGCAGCGGGCAGCAACATGAACATTAAAGTATTTAGATCAATAGATATTAAAGTATTTAGATCAAACCAATCAATCCTGCGCAGGCTCCTAAATAAACCTTGGGGAGTGCCGGTGCCTGTGGGCACTGCTCGTCTAAGCCATCCTGGCCAAGTATTTGTCTAATCTGCTCTTAAAAACTTCAAACGGATGCAAAGTCCACAATCTCTATGTAATCTGTCCCAGTATGAAATCACCTTTATAGTGAGAAAGTTCTTTCTAATATCCAACCTAAATTTCCCTTGCTGCAATTTAAGATCATTGCTTTTTGTCCTGTCCACTGCAGCCACAGAGAAAAATTTATCTCCATCCCCTTTATAAATACCTTCAAATATCTGAAGGATTATTATTGAAGACTTTTATGAAATCTTCTCCTCTTCTTCTTCACACTAAATAATCCCCCTTCTTTCAGCCTTTCCTCATATGCCCTATTTTCCAGACCTAATCATTTTTGTTGCTCTGACCTGAACTCATTTGTTCACATCTTTCTTGAAATGAAGTGCTCAGAACTGGACAGAGTACTCCAGATGAGGTCTCACAAGGGCTGAATAGAGTGGAAGGATCACCTTTCACTTGCAAGATTTATAAAGCTCAGTATGTTATTAGTAGCATTAGAGTGATGTGGCTGCTATGATGGTCCAGAGAAATTGTGGGGGGCAGGATTTCTGCGGGTGATATCTTTTATTGGAGCAACTGCCTGGCTCTAATAAAGTTCAACAAGCTTTCACATGCAAGGCATTCTTCAAAAGCCTGTCTAACTTCATCCCAATCATGCAGCTGGTCGAATAAAAGGTATCAACTACAAAAATCTTTGCTTTTTGCAGAAGGCCGTTAGCCTTTTTTTGCAGCAAGAGCACACTGTTGGTTTCTATTCACTTTATGGGCCACTAACCTAGTCTTTTTCAGCAGTACTACAACCTAGTCAGTTATTCTCCAATCTGTATTTGTGCATGTGATAGTTCCATCAAAGTGCAGGATTTGGCATTTTTCCTTATTTCACCTGAATTTCACCTGATTAATTCCACTTCACTTCATTAGTATCATTCTGAATCATAATCCTATCCCTGCAGAGTGTCTACAACTCCATCCAGCTTGGCTTTAGCTGCACATTTGACAAGGGTACATGCAATCGCATCCTCGATATCAATTAATGAAGATACCAAACAGTATAAGACCCAGGACAGAACCATAGAAAATCCTACTTGTTATCTCCTCTCATTTAGACATCAAGCCATTGTAACTATTCTTTAAGCATGATGATCCCACTAGTTGTGTATCTCTATCTTATAGTACTTTCATCTAGACTATATTTTGTTAGATTACTATTATATAGTGAATGCAGAAGAATAGGCATATTACCCATTGTTCCATAACAGTAGGTTTTGGCTGAGAGATTTAACAAGAAACACCTAGAGCAGCTATGTTTTCTCCTAAATGAAAGAGAGCGATGAATAATTCATTGCTCTCTTTCATGAAGAAATCTTTGCTTTCTTTTCTTACCATATAAATATCTTAAAATGTTAATGAAAGAAGCTGCAGTTCCATTTTACAGCTGCATGTTTAATATATAACAGGGCTGTCTATTAAAAAAATAAAAATAAAAGCTAGTAGATAAGAGAAGCCAGAACTATACAGATGACAACAGATTTCTCCCAACTCCATTATGATCCCAACCATTTGGCTTGTTAATGTGAGTGCAGGAGTTTTAAAGTCTGCATTTTATGTTTATACTTAGCAAGTATGTTAGCCTAAATTGGATTACAGAACATAGCTCTCAACAATTCCCTAGCTGAAACCTAATTTCATTCAATAACCTTTTGCATATTTTATCCTCACCAGGCAGCAGTGGAAGGGGAGCATACAGCTTTCAAATTGTGAAAAGCTGAAAAATTATTTAAATAAAAATTCAGATAAAAGTCATTATTAACGTGTCAGTTATAAACAGCATTCAAATAAATGCAAGTCAAGTTTCCATTTGACATACAAAATTATGCAGCTGTTTGAACAACCAGACTGCATCAGAAACAACACACTCACTTAATTTATCCATATGGCATTAATAAATATTTCATTATAACTACTTAGCGAACCTCTTTTGCATCTCTGTATTTTAAAATTCAACTGTATGAATTATGCAGTTGTATGTGTATTAGCCAAGAGGAGTTCATTTAAAAATTTTAAAAGCTTTTTATTGAGAAACAGAATACCAATGTGACGTACAAATTTAGAATGGCATACAGGAGATCCAAACCAGATCAAAATTAACAGGTTATGAAAACCAGGAATAATCTGCTGCCAATATTCAGGAACAGACCTTAGAGTTCAAGCTAAATCATTCACAGTTCACTACATATTTGGGTGCCTCTCTCTGTACTAATCTGTGCCTTTAAATCAATCAACCATATTTTCTCCATGCCTTTTTCTTAAGAAAGCTGTTTTTATAATATTCAATATCATAGTAATAAACACCAGACTGTCTGATCCAACTCATACTACCTTTGGTTTCACTACCATTTTTTGCACTTCAAAAATGTGATTACTGGGTTTCCTACCTAAGAACTGAGATCACTAGGAGTCCACCAGCAGTACACTCAAATCTCCCAAAACTCCATACAATCCCTAATCCACGATTTTAAAAACAAAAACAAAATGTGACATTTGCAACTCTTATTGGAACACCCTGAAGAAAAAAGATCAGGGTATGCCCTGAGAATCATGAAGCCTCTGTGAAATTTTCTGTAGGTCTAAACTAGGGCTGTCCAACTGGTGGTCTACGAGGGGTTAAACTGCAGCCTCCAGGCTCTTACCCAGCTGCCACTTTTCCTATTGCTCCGACTGCAATAGCAGACAGAGCCTATAGGCTCCCCCTCCTTCCTCTGGCTTCCACTTTCAGCTTGCCCAAGGGGGTATGATAGTACAATACGGAAAGGTGCCTTGAAGGGAGTCGAGTGTGAAGCTGGATTACACATATGTGGTGTTGGGGAAGGGGAAGGATTATGGATGCCTGGTACAGCAGTGGGAGGAGGATGCAATTAGATGTACAGTGCAGTTGAGGGGTAGGGATGCTATGCAGTGTGAGTTGTTTACACGGTGTGCTATCCCCGCTTGTGAAGCCTGGGGGGCATACAGCCCTCAGCTGCTTAGAAGTTGAACAGCACTGGTCTAGTCCACAGAATTCAGTAAAGATATCCAAGCTACCAGAAACAATCCAGCTTTAATAAGCAGCAGAGTATCCAAACAGATTTCTGTGCTACTGCATCTAGACTGCTTTGTTTAGCGACAGCTCAGGTACCTCTATACAAGTGATTCTCAAATCAGGGGACCATGTATAGCCTTTGAAGAGTGCTGCTGGGAGAGAGGAGATAAATGCAGCCTCTTCCCTTCTGGCTACTCTTTCTCCTTTCTGTACCCTTTCCAAGCAGGTAAGCACAATAATAAATAAATTAGTTTCTGAAATGAGGTGCTGCTCAATTCATAAAAGTAACAGAGGAATATCTCAAGTCTAAAAAGGATGAGAACCACTACCCTATACAATGCCACTATATTTGACCAGTCTGAATTGTCCTACTTTGGATTAGAAGGAATAGTTCTTCCCAAATTTTACTCCAGTCTGAAATCTGGTTGTTTTTTTAAATTTCTTGCTGCTGTATAGCCAAAAGCTGAAATACTTACCTCTCTTCCTAGGTTAGAAACTCTTATAAAATCTTAGAACTCAACCATTAACTGGAAGGACCAAATTGTTCCTAGAGTTGAGATGGTAGCTCACTTTGTGCCATATAATCCAAGACCTTTTGGAGCCTGCCTTCAAGGGCGCTCAAAACTGTTTGGAGATTTCTGTGATTCTGGCACTCTTCCATTAAAGCAGAAAGCAAACCACTGTTTCATTTCAGACTAGTTATCAGTCATTAAGGGGTGATTACTTGTGCTTATCACTGCTCTAGACCGCATGCAAACCAGTGACCCTGAGGTGCTTTGTTTGATTTTTTTTTTTTTTTTTTGTGTTCGTGCTCCCAAACTTATAGACAGTAATTTTCAGTTTGTTCACTTACCATTGTACAGTAAGCCAGTTTTTTTTTTAGCTTCTAAATAACAAACCCTCATATAAGCTTAACTGTGCAGATTTGCAGATCTGGTCAGTTTACTAATTCTTTAGAATATAATCACAGCTTCTCTAGTTATTCATTAGGCATTCAGTTCTCATTTTCACTTACATTCTCTCACTCATCAGCTGAAAGCTGTTGAAAACATTACCTTCATTATGGGAAGAAGATCTTCTACTTTATGTACCTTTTCCAAGGCTTCTCGAATTTCTAATACTCCTTTGGGATTATTAGCACTGAAAAAAGGAGGCAACAATTTCAACACAGAAACACAACAATCAAATAATTTAGCATTTTTTGCAGTATCTACCTACTTTCAAAGTAATTAATAATTTCTGAAGATCAATGGAGAATTACTCCCCCATATCCTACTAACAACACATTCTCCCTGTAAAATGGGAATAATATCAATCCCTACAAGAATAGATCTGAAGGGTGGATAATTATAATTCACTATTTTTCCCCTCAGTGGCAATTAACAGGTTTCTCCCATTAGTAAGAGGGCTCAGGTATAGCTAAACTTGAAACTAAAAAATATCCCTCAGACATTTTGTAATAATCTCTATATGACAAGCATGACAGATTCAATTGATATTAATAAGGTAAAAATTAAATTATTTACCCATGGTAAACAAGGATCCTGTCTTTGATAAAATGAAGAATTTTTTCAAAATATTCTAGATATCTCATGTTAATGACCTGTCCCCTGTTGGTAAAAGATAAAACACATTTGAAAAAATGTATCTTATAAAAATGACAGAATGGTACACTATAAAACTAGCTTTTATAATATGGCACATAAAAGCATTATTTCTACACACTGGTGCAAGGAAAACTAGAAGAAGCATAGTCAAAGGTTTGTCTGCACAGGAAAATTCCCCATTTGTTTTTAACATAGAACCTGCAAAATTTTCAGTCTTACTGTACTTGCTAGATTTCAAAAAAGTTTACATTGCATGTGCTTTACCTCACTATTGCCAGCATTTTTGTGTAGTAATATATATACAATTACAACATGTAGTAATGTGTACAACATGTACACTTATTAGTAATATGTAGTAATGTGTACATTACAACATGTACAATATGTACTTCTACATTTAGAAGCAAGTTGTTTTTATGCAATCATTTACACGGGAAAGATAAAGCAGAGATCCTACTTTAACAGAATTACTCTGAATGCTGGCATGATATTATAATTTTCTTTTAAACAAACTACCATATTTACCCCAATAGAAGATGACTCTGATTATAAGATAACCCCCCATTAGTTAGGTTCTATGTATGGAAAAATTTATAAATGTGTTAAATTTTCCAAGTATAGGAGCTAATTATTGGAAGTCTGCCTTGACTCTGTACCCCCTCCCCCCCAACACACCCTGGAGCATGGAATCCAATTTCTGTTGCTCTTGTGCACTTCTTCAGATTCCCAACAATGCTGAAGTGTTGCCAGGAAAAAAGCAAAGCATCCCACAACATGATATCAGCGTCAAATCTAAAAGCATGTC